AAGAAATTAGACATTCAAAAAGGAAGATGGAAATACAAAATAAAAACCCTTCTAGCAAGTTCTGCATGCACATATTTTTCTCATTTCTCCTTTAATGAATATATATATCAGAAAAGCAGCAAAAGGTGCCACAAAATAGAGGTACCACTGGAGTCTGCTCCACGTTTACCACTGGTAATTAATGCCAAAGCTCTACTGCCAAAATTACAGCAACGAGATTACCGCATAAAAATATACTTTAAACTTAGTTTTCAGTTTAGTCAGTAGAGCAGCTCATCAAAACAATTCTAAAAGGGAAACCAAAATATGGTCTCTGGGGTTACGCAGAGACCAACTGAAAAAAAGGACTTTGGGAAGGAAAAAACAAATCTGGCTTCAATTTCATTACTGCATTCCGTATTTTCTTGCACATTTCCCTAAATCCATTTCTATTCTTCTGCTTTGTTTGTACTTGAACTTTCCAACCCTTAACCTATAGCAATAAATCAGGGCATAAACAGTCTCACATCTCAGCTACTAGCTTATGACTGAAGATACGATTCCTGATTTTAACATAACCTTCTACACGGTGCTGGATGTCAGCCTCCCTGTGCTCTCAACTCCCACAGCTTCTAAAAATTTTCTGAGAATAAATAACACAGCATATAGGATATCAATGCTGGGGACACCTCAGAAAGAAACTAAGTATCTTGAAATTTTGCATTTTCAAGCATGCTTTTGAGTCAGTTATATCAGATAAATGAGAATCTCCTCCATAAATATACTGAATATTTTAAAATGAACCTAGGATTGAGTGTTTGTCCTAACTGCTGTAATTTTTTTCCTCAGACATCCACTTTGGTAAGGCCTGAATTTTATCTAAATTTGGGTGAAAGGGTTAAGTTTTTATCTTTGAAAACCATAAAGAAAACAGGAGATCCATCTTATTTTCAGAAAGTTAAAACAGTAAGGTAGATGTTTTTCTAACAGAGAGAACACGCATTTTACCTTAACATTGGATTTCTTTGAGAAATTAACCACCACTCCCCATCCAAAGTCATCATCTTCATTTTTCACCTGAAAACATCAGAAGACATTGTAACACCACCTGTGTATAGCTACATCATAGTGAGAGTGCATTTTCTTACTTTCATTATTTACAACAGCAGTCGTACGGACTACTATTCACCATCAAAATAGCATTTATTTTTCTTTCATTGCTGACTGTTTAACAGAGAGACATGCAACGAAAGTAAAAACCGTTAGAAGGATGCACAAAAAAGACAGTAAACTAAAGACAAACGAACACGGCAAACGCCACAGGAAGGCAGTAGCTGAAACAAAACCAAAGAGCAACAAAAAAATCTCCATTTACCTTTACCAGTCTTCCTGGCTGTAGAAAGGGCAAGCAATACTTTGGCTTGTGAATATATTCTTCAATCTCTTTACCCAGTTTTGCAAGCTGCTGTCGGATTTTATAGTATATGACCACATTTTCTTCATTGGGAATTACTATTTTGTTGTACTGTTCTTCCAATTTATTCACCTCTATAATAAAAAGTAAAATCTCATGGACATGAATAATTTCATAAATGTAGAAGTCGATGTTTCTCTTTCACATCCACAAAACCAGTATTTTCAAGACATATTTTCTGTGTGCAATAATCCGTTTTCTGAAAAACTGGAAATTTCTAAGAGTGTCCAATGAATTTTATTTATAGTACATTAAACATAGTACTTACCATCATTTATTTGTTTATTTTTAAAACCCAAACAAACCACAGCACATTTTGTAAACAAGCCTGAAAACAGAGAAGCCAGGGCCACCAACTGTCCAGAAATCACTGACTTAGGTTTGCAGAGAAGTCCCATAAAGCCCTGCAATGATTTGTAAGAGGGGATTCACCGCATACCAGGGCTCTCTGACCTTTTCCTACAAAAAAATATTTGCGCACAGACGTCTTCTAATGACTTCCCTCATGAGAATCAGTGTTCTGTTTTACATGCATATTGCTCTGAATTCACTGCTTTTCTTCCTCAAGTGTTTTCACATCTTATTTAGGCAAATCAGTTCTTATTTTAAGGAACATGCTTCCTTCTCTCACGCTGGAAACACAAGTCGATATAAACAAAGGACTTACTATAAAGATGGCCATCCTCTACAAATTTACCTACGTGCATGCTATTTGGGTACACACAAGTGACTCAAAAATCTCACTTCAGTTGAGCCTGAGACACAATTCAGGGAAGTGCTCCCTATTTTTAGCTGCCAAGCTTTTATTTTTTTAAATTAAAAAAGCTAGCAATTCACACTGGTGACATGATTTGCACCTTGACCTAAAAAAACATTTCTCTGCTTTGTATTCTAGATTGCAGCTGAAATGATTGAAAAAATTCTAAACGCTATGGTGCCTAAGTAAGAAACGTGAAAAAACACACAGAAAAAAGTTCTTCAGCTCCATTTCTTTATTTAAATAGTAATGCTGGAATGCCAGCACGAAGATTTAGGCATGCCAATTGGAACAGGCAGGCTCTCAAGAAACACATACTATGTTTGACTACTACTGCCATAAATACTGCACTTGCAAACTGTAAGAAGCTCTGCAAAGGGAATCAGGACAAAAATGAACTTGTTTATCAGTCCCACACATATACTGTACACAAGTGCACTCTGTCTCTTGATATTCTATTAACAGTCAAACAGATGAGTTGCTCACGTATGGGTGGCAAAGGAAGCAGTTTATCTTGTCTTCTTAATTTTGAGTTAAATTTTCTCATTCCCAAATATTGGCTAAGATCTTTGGAAACTGACTTTGGCTCATGAAAACACATTATTAAAAGATCATGGCTCAAAATTTAGTCAACTAAATGGAGTGCAAATAAAGTCTCAGTCCTCTTTCCCCCCCCCCGCACTACTACTCCGAATACAGCATGCCTTAGCAACTGCAATGAGACTTAAAATTAAAATTATTTTAGCTAAATTCTACATGTCACTAAGATATAAAACTTATCCTCTCTGCCCCTCTTGCAAACTGCAAGAATTTCTGAATTATTTTCTCTCTTCCTGTCCTAGAGGTTACCAATGGGGGTAACCATTTTTGTCCAAATCTCAGGAGAACGCCCTCTTTATAGACTGACAATGCAGGTCAGCATAGATCTTAAAGAGAAGAGGAAATTACTCTTCCTGAAATTGTAACAAAATAGCAAAAAGTGCACTGGCATCTGCTGATAGGGAAAACAAGAACTACACAGGTTCACACAAGGACAATGAAGTTCAAATGACCAACATTGCTGCTACAGTAGCTTTTACGCCAGGTTTCATAATTGAGAGTAACATACAAGGATACTTACTTTCTACCACTCCTGGAATAGCTCTGTAATGTTGAAATTGGTAGAACGATTTCTCTAACATGTATTCGGGGTTAATTTCTTCTACTCTAAGCAAGTTCAATACCATGTTGTAGGTCAGGTGGAATGCACTGTTTAAGGGATCAGCTGAACCCTGAAAAAGATTCAAGAACATTGTCCAGCTAGTAAATAAATTAATTGCAGCATATAGGAGCACATCAAACAAATCACAATGTGATTTATACAAAGAGCTGCTTTGATGGGTAGCATAAATTGTCTTGAATATAGATTACTTCTCTCATTAAATCCTAAGCAATTTTTTTATGCCCAGCATGTAACAACATTTGTATGTTTTACGTATATTATATTAAACAATATACATACTGCCATGTCATAAATGAAAAGTTCAGATGAAATCTACTGCATTTCTTGTAACCATTATCTGGATTCTATTGCTTCAACTTTAAAGTAAGCCGTCTAGACACTAAAAGCAATCCATTATTTTTATATTCTGGAAAAACTTACTCGCACACCTTTTTCTAAGGAGACTTACTGATCACAATGAAGTTTGTTTGAAAATAGGTATTCTGCATCTTCTTCAATCTAAGGAAAGCCTCAGTCTAAAATTAGTTTATAGGTTGTTTCATAGAGGCTGTGGACTCTCTATTTCTGGAGATGCACAAAAGCCACCTGGACATGGGCCAGGACACCCTGCACTGGGTTCGTCTGCTTGGGGGTTGGAGCAGATGAGCCCCGAGGTGCCTGCCCACCTCAGCCCTTCCAGGATTCTGTGAAGCTGCGAAGTGTGGAGGAAATCTCAAGTTTCTGTAGGTACCTGGAGATCAGAGAACTTCTATTGCTGATGCTAAACAACATACAACACAGCTGTCTTTTTTTAAGACCTGAAACCAGGATTACGTGCCTCTTGTCCATTATTCTAAATATATCCATCTTCCAGGAAAGAGAAAGCACCACTCCCTAAAAGCTTGATTCTCTGAAACAGAGTGCCATTTACAGAATGGCATGTACTAAAGAATGACATAGTGATTATACCAGTACCAGTTCAGGAGGGCTCAGATTATTTCCAACACCAGCATTTATGACTCTAGTAAGGCATCAATCAAAACAGCTGGATTACACTCACTAAGCCAGCCATGGCCATAGCTGTACAGTCCTTGAGGAGATCGTGCAAAACGTCACTGTGATTGATCACTTTGATTGCACTGTGTACCTCATCCTTCACCCTTTGAGTTGCATTACTCTAAGATGTAATTTAACTGCATGCTAATAAGATTATCAACTATTTGGAGGAATAAAATCAGAAGCAGATGACTCTCAGCAGTACTACCAGGAAGTGAGAAAACACTGTATTCTTTACAACATATGCACAACATATTCCAAAACAGACCAGACATTCCTGCAGATTCACTTTAAAGGCTTTTCAAAATCAGTACAACTGTGAAGAAGGAGCAATTTAAAAACAAATGTGTATGGGAACTGCTGAGTCACGGCCTGAACCTCTGATTGATCACCTGAGGCGAGCCATGAGCCAGCCAGAGGAGCAGAGCTGAAGGCAATTCACCTGTGCTGCAGGAAGGGCTGGAGCCAGGCTCCACCTCTCCTAGACCCATTTAAGAGCTGGCTACCAGTGGGGAAGGATCTCTTCTGGAGATCCCTCCTTCTGGTGTTTTGTGGGTGAGCCCAGGATAGGGGTAAGCCTTCCATTTATTCTCTTTTGTTATCATAGTCTCCTTCGCCTAACTCTCTTGTTTATTTTGTGATTATAATATCTTAATAGCCATTGATTATACAAAATGAAAGAAACAGTACGCGTTTCTAAGGTAATATAAAGCACACTTATTTGAAAGCTAGCATTTGAGCCAACTGCTGGTGTGGCAATTTTTATTTCAAACACATGATCAGCATTTTACACTTTAAAAATAAGATTATACTATAAAGACAATCCTTTTTTTTAGGCAAAAACTGAGAACTGTGTTTGTTCCTTCATCTCACACGTTCTTCTCAAAGTTCCAGAAATTCCTGCTTTCTCAGTGCTGTTCTGTAGGCAATGCTGTATGCGAAATTAAAATTGAGAACTTTTTCTTCTTGAAAATCAAAGCTGTTATTTCTCCAACCTAAACAGAACTGTAGTAGCCTTACTGTATTTGACTGCCAGAGAATTCCACAGCGTATACTACTCTCTACTGACTAACCTAGGCTATCAACAGACTCACATTTAATGGACAGCAATCATCTGGATATCCTTGCTTCAAATACCTATTAGCAACAGATGGATTATGCAACTGCAGTAGGAAAACTAACAGCAAAATTCAGTCATTTTTCCATGCTAACCACACACAAAACATGACCAGGGAACCAGATCTTGCTGGCAAATGAACACGGGCATGGTCACTGAACAGGCAATTGGTGGTTATATAAAGACACTGTCACATGCAGGGTGGAAGGGAACAACAGGAGATGGGGAAATATGAGATGCATCAATAAGAAAAGGTGGCCTTTCCTTTCCTATACACTTATGCAGAATGAAATGTACAACCATCCTGGAGCTTGCTTGATACTAAAGGAAAAGGAAGCAAATAAGTATAAGTTACATTTTATTTGTCATGTTTTCGCTCCTCTTTAAATTCCTTTCTCTTGTAAAACTCCATGTCACCAGTTTCCTCACTATCCACTATCACTTTCTTTAAAATACTGTGAAGCACATGCATGACATTTAGCTGATCTGCTACCACAGATACCTCGGTTAATCAATTTACCCTTCTACAGACTAAGGTATGCAATCATCTGCCTCAAGTTCATTTGGTCTGTGCAGAAATCCATTCCACAGTTTCAGAGACAAGGTTCTATGTTAGAGAAGGGAAGAAGCAGCAAGTCATGCAGAAGTTTAACTGCTTAGAGGTGCACTGAACAGTCACTTCCAAACACATCCCGCATCTGCAAATTAAATATCAGAGAACTACTGCTTAGGTATCTCCCTTCTGCAAGCAACTCTTTCACTTCAGAGAGAACAGTCTACTGCCTCCAGTCTTCAACAGACAGTAGCAACAGATTTATTTCTGAATAAGTTTAAAAAAAAAAAACTAAGAAAAACTACAGTAGAGGGAACAACTCTGCAAAGATTTTTATCGTTCCAGCTAGGAACAGTCTAGATAAACAAGAACAGCTTGGATACATGAACTGAAGTTCTCAAAAATTAGTAACCCATTTGGTGTTCTTGCGAACATTCCACCTCTTAATAAATTTTAAGTCAGCTTAAAAGGAGCATTTTCAAGATCTGGGTTGGAACAAAACGATAGGCTTCAGCTGATCATATCAGAATGTGGGCATGAGCAATTCCTTACAGAAATAATCTAGCTAATAATTAACTGAAAATTAGAGCACTACACACTGTGTCCTGTTTCACTGTCAATGATTTTGCAATGGAACATCTTCTTATACAATCAAATCAAAGAGGTCGCTAGTCATACATTCCTTGCTCCTATCTATTAGAAAGATAAATCAAGTGGTGAAGATGGAGGTTAATGGATATTAGAATTGATACTCGCAGCTTTTTTTTAATAAAAACAATACAATATTTTTTGTTTTCCTTGCTGTTAAAAACAGGAAACCTTGCCTAGCTGGAGATATGGGGCTGTCATTACTGTCTAATGGCATGTGCTGTTAAGCAAGCCTTACGTTTGGTAAGGGTTGCTCTCCCTGCTCTCTTACAGTGGGAAAAAATGCTTACGTTTTCAAAACAGTTTCAATGTAGAGAGGGGAACAAATTTTGCATAGAACTTTTTGCTCTTCAACTCGTCATGGAAAACGTGCAGAGCTTTCACAGGGAACATAAGATGTTTAAGTCACAGGGACATGAAGAGCTAATGAGGATGAAAGAGGCAATTATGTATTTCTGAGCAACAAAAGAAGCAACAAAAGAACTAAAGAAAAGTTAAATGCATAGCAGGACATATTTTAGGCCACTGGGTACACTGATAATTTCATTTATCAAAGTTTCCACAAATAAGCTGAATAAATGAATTTCAAAAGAGGAAACAACAGCTTTTTTTTGGTTTGTTTTTAAACCCGAAAAGAAGTTCATAACAGAACAAATTGATATTTAAGACATCAATGACTCTTTTCCTTACAAGTTGGAAAGAATTACACTCAGCAGTCTGTATGAGTCATCATTAGTAACTCACAAGACAAAAAAAGACTTCATTAAATAAAGTGACAACTTGATACATTCATAAGACACAACCAGTGATACAGTAACAGCATGCATTTTTTCCACATATCAACTGCTTAGTTATTGCATATGAATAATTAGCTCTCAGAAATACAAAACAATGCACAGTTACAGTGATTATAGGATTACCTTCAGCAAAGTTAGTACAACTGCAAAAAATCACAGAAGACACTCAGAAAGAGTTTTTAGCAGAAAACAGTGAACAGCTATCTTACGCACAAAATTGTTACCAATCTGGCTCACAGCTCTGCCCCCCAAAACAGTTGTACCAATGCAAGTAGCGGCCACTGCGGATGGCAGGAGATTTCTTTTCACAGGTTTTGCTAATGAGAAACATTCCGATTTTGGTTTCACAAAAACTCTAATTGTAATAAAAGGCTTAAAGAAAAATAAACATATATCAGCTTCGCTTTCATGAAACGTACCCTTATTTTCTTGCACCCACCAAATTAGCTTTGAATGATAGAACTTTCTCTCCTACCATCCCTTTGTTTTACTTCAGGCTTATAACTCAAACCTCTGAACAGAGCATAGAAAAAAAATAGAATGGAAAAAAAAATCCTACACGCTTCTACTGAGGTATCCTGACTTCACAAAGTAATATTTAAACTGTCAGGCAAATCTTTAGAGCTAAATATTTTATACAATACAATTACTGTACATTAACTTTAAAATTTCAAATACAGATCACTCTGATACAGGATCATACCATGCCACATTAATTGTTCCGCACAGGATGAAAACACACTAGGAACAAATCCAGCAATTTAACAAATGTTCAGCATTCTACTGTGCAACGATTCTTTTGGATCCATGCTGATAACTCTATAACTGCATTTGCATAACATCTGAGAAACAAATTTTGCTGCATTCAAGCTAGATGTACTAGAAAGGAACTCAAATGTAAAACAGCAAGTAGGAGCTGTATCTGCACTCAGAAGCTAATTCAGTTACTCTTCCTGGTTTCAGATCCACTCCTACAGAATTCTGTCACGTCAGTGATAGTGACAACTTACAGTTTCAGTAAAAACACACTACTTTGAAGTTTAAAGAAAATGTGGTCTCAAATACAGCAGATTTCTAAAAAAAAAAAAAATTACCAAAAAAAAAACCACAAAGGAAATCTTGTCTTCATATCACACCTTAACAGCTTTAAGAATAAGAAGACAGAGAACTCCTAGCTTAAACATTCAAAATGCATTTAAATTTGCAATAGATAGTGGTAAGTTCATCATAACAACAGTAAATATCCAAAAAATATGACAGCTGGGGACAAAATGCTTCCACAGAGGTCAAAAAAACTTCAAGTAACTTCTGGTATGAATAAGCAGCAACCACAATTAATAAACAATAGCAGTTAGCTTAGTTCTCCTGGCTCAGGAAGAGCATCAACTGTAGTCCAACAGTGACTAGATATTTTATATGCCATATGATACACTTGATCTCCCTACATTTTGACTGTAAATGTCGGAAGAAAAGAGCAAGTAGTTCTTTCTATCTGCTAGCTTGTCTATAAAAATGTAAGGCTGTACAAGATGGTCTTTGAGTATCTGTCTCCCATCGAACAGTTGCTTCCACAATTTCACACTAAAGTCTTATTGACTCAAAGCAGATTTTAAAACTAAGGTTGGAAGTTAAATGTCTTCCTGAACTGAAGCCTGGAAAATTTCTGCAATGCAAGCTCTGGAAGAACAAAGCAGAAGTCTGCCAGTTTAAAATAAAAGTAAAAAACATATTTTTACAGTAAATTTTGACCAAGTATCCAAAACTTGTTTGTTTCATTGAGATTCTCACTTACTTCACAACTCTGAATTACAAGGAAGGAAGGTCATGCAGCGCTCAAACTATTAGTGACAATGTGTTTGTTTAGATTTTGCAATGGCTTTTCTAACAAGTGTTATGGTCAAAACCCAGCCTATTTCTCTCCCAAAGTAGACTTCGGTAAGTTTTTCAAACGCTAATGCTTTTTTTTTTTTCTTTCCCTTTTTCCATATGAGTAAGCTTACAGTCAAATGAAAATACAATTCTACAATTAAGCTGGTATGTTAAACTGATACTTGGCAAGGGACTGAAGGCTAAGGGAATAACAGTCACACTGAAGTGTATTACCTGCTGCACTATATACACACTCCCAAATCACAGACATCTTTTAGTTGGAAAGAACACTGAAAGTTAACCTTGTCCAACTCCCCTGCAGTGAACAGGGATACCAGAGGCCTCCAGATTGGGCCTCACCAATGCAAAGTAGAGGGGCAGCATCACCTCCCTTGACCTGCTGGTCACACTACTTTTGATGCAGCCCAGGATCAAGTTGGCAATCAGGGCCGCAGTGGCACACTGCTGGCTCATGTCCAGCTTGCCATCTACCAGTATCTACAAGTCTTTTTCAGAAGGGCTGCACTCAATCCTTTCATCCCCCAGTTTGTATTGCTGGTGAAGGTTGTCTGACGCAGGTGCAAGACCTTGCACTTGGATTTGATGAATCCCACGAGGTTCACCTGGGTGCACTGCTCAAGCCTGTCTAGGTCCCCATCCTTCTGGATGGCATCCCATCCCTCTGGTGCACTGACTACACCCCACAGCTTGGTATTATCAGCAAACTTGCTCAATCCCACTGTCGGTGTCTTTGATCCAGATATCAGAGAGTATCAGTCAGAGCACCTAACTCCTGGGGGACACTTCTCATCACCAGCCTTCATCCAGACATGGAGCCATTGACCGCCACTCTCCAGACTTGATCCTGCAGCTAGTACTTGTTTGTATGAAAACACAGCAAGCAACAAGTAGCAGGCTCAGAGCCTTATTAGTCAATACCAGACGAGCCAAAGGAAGGAACATAAAAGCATAGTCAAAGATTAAGTGAATTCCTTCTGTGTATGTTTTATACTCCCTGTACATTAACTAACATTTTCTTCATTTTCTGATTTTCTTTTTTGTTTCTTTCTTTTGTTACACTTTCTAAAGCTAAAATACACAAAAAACAACACTGGTGGCAAAAGCTTACTATTAATCCCTTCTGCAGACAGACAGCTTCACTTACTGCGAAAAAAGTTTTGTCAGATCACCTGTATTCCAGAAAATTTGTTCTAACAATCAAAATGTCTTCTCAATATCTCACCACTTTCAGTCCTACATTTACTCCTGATCAGCATAAATCTACTTATTTTTATGCTAGTGTTCTTTTTCCACACAAAATAGAACTTTCTTCGTAACTGGGAGTCTGAAAGGAACTGAGCTATATGCAACGAGGAGCAGCTGACTAGAACACACGATCTAACGATGCTGCACCAATAATCATGGAACAACAATTTGGGCTCCTGCAAATCTGAGAAGCTTTCCAATGCATTACTGTACTGCGGACATAAAATGGGCAGGGACTTAAAGTGAAATGTATTAAATGCTCAGAATTGCTGCCCTATCCATTTGGCTATTACAATAAAATAACCTAAGAAACAAAACGAAGTACAGGAGATCAGATGGGTTTCTCATAGCAGGGTAGCAGGTGCAGTACTGTCACTCAATGAAGGCCCTGCCAAAGAGCCAGATGTGGCCTTCTGCAACTAGGCGCTGGGGCACTTCATGTTCCATACACATATGACAAGGAGAGCACAAGTCTATATTTTATCTGGTTAGACAAATGTTTTCTTTCAATTTTTCAGTCCATCTAATTTCTCCTGAGACGTAAGTAGAAGCAAAGCAATGATAAACTCAAATTCAACTCTCTAAAACCTATACTAGCACATTTTCTTTCAGTATACAGTATACAAATGAGTATACTAATTTCCACAGTTAGCTAGAGATTTTTGACTTTTAGAGAAATAACAGATTACCACAGTTCAGGATCTCAATTAGCATGTATTCTTACAGAGACTTGCATGGCCAAATGCTAACCAGAGAGATGCTGCTCTAGTTTCAAAGGCCATCTAGTGTCAAGAAGCAGCTTTTCATTTCTCACCTGAACTAATATACTGTAGTTGAGAATTTCTCATCCAGAGGGAGGGCTCCCTCCCTCAAGAATTCTCATAAAATACTTAATTCTATGCAAACGTAAAACCATAATGTACTGTCTTCAGAAAGCTCTCCAACAGTACTGCAAGCATTTAGTTTTGTGGATTAGAGCAAGTCGTCAGTTTATGAAACACGCAGTGGTCAAACAAACACTAAGGATAAACAAAAAACCTAGTTACATTGCAGAAGACAAATGCATGTCACTGAGTTTAAGAAACAGTTACAAATATCCTGCATAAGAACTCAATCTAGGATTTGAACTTTGGATTTTAAGCTTGAAGTACTGTACACAACATCGCAAAGAACAGCATTATAGCCAAACAGCACAGCTCTGTTTTACTGGTACACACACAGAGCCCTTAATTAACTGATCACAGGCTTAAGCAGCAGATAACATTGTTTCTTAGATGTTTTACTCTAGCATTCAGGAAATGCTTGGAATCAGATACACAAAAGGGTTAAAGAGCTACTATATAAATTTTGTTATGTGAGTGTCCTATCACTCTCAATAAGGATCTTTAATCCTAATTCCTCCATATAAATCTTTAGCTTGTCCTGAAGAAAAGACAAAAAATTTGATGTGGCAGCAAAATACCATTACAAAACACAGTCATCATTTTCCCCACAGATAAACAGTGGTCATCACTAAGTAAATTGTAATCTAAGTGCACTTAATGTTGAGTACAGGATGAATACTGTAGAAAACATAGTTGACATACATCCTTGGCCTGTTTTGTGTTTAAAAAAGAAAAAATATATTTATATTTAAATACTGCACTGCTCATTTCAAACTATTGCTTTTATTACCTTTTCAGCAACTGGCTGAAGAGTTACAGAAGATTCAAAAGCCATCAGTACAATTATTATAGTCCTTTCCAATCTTTTTAAAAGAAAATTTCAATTAAGTCCTTGCTTTCTGATGAAGCAGTGTGACAAATTAATGAAATGTGTAAATTTAGGTAGATCAGTGGAGAATAACCAAGACATAATACAGCCATGGAAGAAGTCTGCAGCATTTTCCCCCATTTTGTTTCATCATAATTCAAAAGAAACAAAAAATCTTGTAGTTCCAATAATGGAAATGTTCCTTATTATTCCCTCAAAATCCAGAAAAAACAATATATATAGATGGTATCAAAATCATAAGGAAATCATAAAATATTTATATCTTATAATATTTTCCTTATATTTTATAATATTGTATGTTGAGTTCCATAGTTTTCAAACAACCGAAATTACAAATGTAAAAAAATGAAGTATTTTCTTCTCTCATATTGCATCTCCAGATGTTTGGTTTTTCAGTGATGGAAATCCTTTTGTAAGTGTACCACAAAATGACACTCAAAGATCTAGTTAAAATACATGCTCTTTAAATACTGCTGACAGGCACATATGCTTTAAGAGTGCAAACACATGCCACAAGTAAATTCCAAAGAGAAAACAAACCAAAATTAAGAAATGAATTCAAAGATTAATGCTACATGAATGAGCTGGAGTATTTTTCAAAACTTACTAGCAAACATTCATGAAAATTCTGACTTCAGAAGGCAAACACTATTTGCATGCCTCGTATGTCTGCTATAAATCAACACGTAGCACTGTGAGATTGAGACACAGAACTAACAGCAGCCAAGCACATATTTTAGCTTGCTCTTAGATTTCCCTGAACGAAATAGAGAACTACTAGCTTTTGAACTTTTTTTTTCCCCGGTACAAGACCTACAGATGCAAGCCTTTGATTAGTATATCCTGATGTTGATTTTATGATGATTTCCACAGTTTATACTAACACTAAAAATAATGATCTGCCATTTTTATGCTCCTGATCAGCATGGTGAGCCATTCCTCAAGTGCTCAGTTTTTAGGCATTTGCACAATTATTGCAAGTAGTCTACGATTGTCTATAGACACAGCAGAAAATTTTGATTCATTATGGTCACTTTGGCCATAGCCTTTAAATAAAAGTGAGAATGACTGCAGCTTCTCACATCCCAATTATAAAGGAAATTTGCAATTAACTATAACAACATCCATTATAGTTTGCAGAAGCCCCATAATCTAATGGTTGTATTACAGAACCTCTTCTGATTCATGCACTGTGAATTTCTTCATAGTTAATTTTAGCTCACTGACAGTCAACCTTTTTTTTAGTCATCTTATGCACCCCATTTTTCTGCTTCATCTTGATTCTGACCAGTTTGTCTACTACACTGAAAAGTTCACTATCATTCTTTATTTTATCACAGAACCAGTACTTTTACTACTCTCGGGAGTTCAGCAAACCTTTACAGGTCAGTAACACTCATCAATTGACTGGTCAGCAAAAAACAACAGTTCACTGCAGTATTAGTATCAGAAAACAAGACAGAATTCTACCTAAGATCTCTGAAAAACTAAAAACAAAACAAAAATCAATAAAAAAGTTACATTTATCCTACCTTTAAAAGTTGCTTGCCAATTGTTGGACTCATTTTTTCATCCACCATAAGAATTACTATTCCTCTGTCATCCATACCTCGGCGACCTGCACGACCTGACATTTGAATGTATTCACCTGAGGAGATCTAATATAAAAGAGAAAAATAACAAACATTAGAAAAACAGCAAGAACACAGAAGGAGCTATTTATAATTACACACACAGTACATGCTCACGATGTATAAAAACTAACAAAACGGTCACATATGACATGGAGTTTTCACCGATCAAATTCGTTATGAGGAAAGGCTGAGTGAACTGGGTCTGTTCAGCCTTGAGAAAAGAAGACTGAGAGGGGACCTGATCCAGGTCTATGAATATCTAAGGTGTGGGGGGCAGAATGGCGAGGCCGGACTCTTTTCAGTGGTGAGTGGAGACAGGACAAGGGGAAACGGCCGGAAACTGCAGCATAGGAAGTTCTGCACAAATGTGCGCAAGAACTTCTTTACAGTGAGGTGACGGAGCACTGGAACAGGCTGCCCAGGGAGGTGGTGGAGTCTCCTTCTCTGGAGATGTTCAAGACCCTCCCAGACGCCTACCTGTGTGACCTGCTGTAGGGAACCTGCTTTGGCAGGGGGGTTGGACTCGATGTCTGAAGGTCCCTTCCAACCCCCTACGATTCTGTGACCTACAAAACTACACTAGATATTCAAGCTTACAAGCTCATTTTGGACAAGTGAAACCAGCAAATATAGTAAAGTACACTTAAGAGAGAAACAGCAGAATATTTATTTACAGCTCCTGCTGGGAAATATCTATGGTTTCTATTAACTCCTTCCAGTGCATGAACACTAACAAGATTCATGAACAATCTGCCACAGACTAGTTAGGGAAGTATGCCTTACGACTAACAAAGAATGGAGAAGTCATGTGTCCTTCCTGAATCCTCTCTGCCTACTCCTCTTTCAGGAATTCGGGTAAATTGCTGATCATTTTAATAACCCAGCACACCTACCCCTGTTCTACCAGGCGACGGAGCACTGGAACAGGCTGCCCAGGGAGGTGGTGGAGTCTCCTTCTCTGGAGATGTGCAAGACCTGCCTGGATGCCTACCTGTGTGACCTGCTGTAGGGAACCTGCTTTGGCAGGGGGTTGGACTCGATGATCTCTGGAGGTCCCTTCCAACCCCTACAATTCTGTGATTCTGTGATTTTGTTAGTCATTGCACTGATGACTAAGCTGCTCAGACAAATCCATCCCTATGTATCAATAGGATAACTTGACCAGCATTTTCATGGCTACATTTAATGATACATAACTACAGTAATTTTCTTATCACTTATCACTGTTTTAATAAGCAAAAAAACAAGTTTTACTCATACTTCACACCATAGAATATTACTACACATGGTAGAGATTACTGTAACATATCTTCAACAATGGATTAAAAAAGCATGCGCTATAACATTTTAAAAGCAGCAGTTGCCCAGGTCTGATGCACAAAGATAGCTAATTCTTGCATATTTTAAGTCATCCAATCAGACTGAACAAAATGTGAAACTGAAAAGCCAAATTAAGACCAAATAGACATGTTTATTTCAAAACTCATTCTCACTTGTTCCATTTACCTGTTTTCCCAACTTTGAAAGATAAACTATAACACTTATAAAGCTTCTCTGTGATGATTTATACAACCTTATTATTGTTTACATGTGAATCAGACATCTGCTTTCTTCTTTCTCACATCTCTCTTCTTCTATGGGATACCCAAAACAATGTGCTATAACAGAACAATCAATATTCTCTCAGAAGAAACCCATCTTTTTTCTTGGGTCTATCAAAATCTAGTTATCATTATGACACAATGCTGAGTCAGTGTATTATTCAGATTCTTCTGTCATGGATGAAGAGATATTCACACTCCACGACAAATTGTGCACAACTCTTAGACCAGTCCAATATTCAGCACAAGTTTGTGTTTGATGTTGTTTTGCTGTATCTATTTAATAATTTTATGTATACTCTGGAGAATCTTGTCTTCAGGAAAGAGAGTAGTGAACAAATAAAAATATTTTGGAAAAAAAAACGAATCTACTACACTGAAATGGATATGTCAACAGTAAAGTTCATGTTTGTAAAAGTTTAAATAACATGATTGAATCATTCTCCCATAGAACCTCTTTTTCACATACCCATCGGAAATCTTTCCCATCAAATTTGGAGGCACTTGTAAACAGTACAGTCCTGGCTGGCATATTAATTCCCATAGCAAAAGTTTCTGTTGCAAACAAGGCCTAAATAAACAAACCAAAGTTAGGCAAGCAAAAACAGACTCTTAAGCAAATGCAAGTAGTTAAACATTGCAAAAACTCCAGATTGCACTTCTTACATACTGTCAACACAGGAACATAGAAGCATTCAACATTTAAAAACTGCAACAAAAACATTCTTTCTCCTTCACTTACTTCTTCTAGGAAAACAAGAGGAATAGTTACATGACACGAAGTGCCAAAGTAAACACAAGTCCTGGAAATGCATTAAATATTAGAAGCACTTGTAGGATTTCAAAAATCACTCCTGCCTCTTGAACTTGCTTCTTCATAAGCATGCATCATACAATAGACAAAAATTTTGGACTTGGACTATGTATGTTTTAATACTTTAGAATAAAATAAAATTACAGATGTAATTATGTACTAACATAAGACATCTGCATCAAAGCGTAAAAGACTAAAGCATTTAACATGGGGTAAAAAGCAGCTTATTTCTTTTTTTTTTCCAGATAAACATGGAGGTATTTATGCAAATACACATGTTCTTCAAGGGAAAGGAGATGCAACAAATTAAGGACACTTGTAGAGCTCAATATTAAAATCCACAAGATAGACCCCTTCCCTCTAAATGTATGTAGCTCTTCTCAAAACTGCTTACTTACTATACTGCGTTTGAAAAAAAAACCAAAACAACACCCTAATTCTGCTAGAGGCATACCCAAAGCACAAAGCCCTTTTCAGTTTGGCATTTGCAATGACCTTTTCTCTCCCCTTTTTCACTCAAGAAACAGATTCCCACTGTATACCAGTATACAATCTGTGCTAAGACATACTTAGTTCGTCTGGATGATCAGCCGTATGCCAGAACAAGAAAAATACAAATGTGGACATAAAACATACCTTTATGAGGCCCTCTGAGAAAAGAATTTCTATGGTTTCTTTTAAGATAGGAAGCAGACCACCATGATGGATGCCTATTCCACGTTTCAGAAGAGGCAGCACATGCTCAACCTGGGAAGAAACACATTAATTAACACTAGTAAGCAAAGTGTAATGTGCTCTGCAGAAGCAAAACAACTGTATTGAAAATCTCTTGAAGTTTATGAAGTCCACCATTTCCTGATTCTAAATACAATAAAGACCCCCTCAATTTATTTTGTATTGAGAATTAGGAATGATAAGAACTGAAAAGCCAACAGTCAACCTTTTCAAAACTGGAGTAGTTCCTCAATAGGGTAAGGTCAACTGTGTAGCCACACTGTAATTCACGTTTGCAATCAGTATTTGTCTATATAAAGAACTTTCTGAGACGCTCAGGAGTTGATATCTGATAAAGTGCACAACGCATCTGTGGTTGAACTCTTCAGACAGTTTTATAAGCCCTTGTGTGTATTGAAAAACATACCTAAAAGAAGTAACACTGAAACAAAGGGCGAGAGCTCACTGTTCAATTTTGCCACATGTGATTTGTTAGAATCCCAACAAGAAAGAATCCTGGTCACAGAGCCCTATTTCACAAAGCCAAAGAGCAATGCAAGGAACAGTAAATTCAGTGAGATCAATTTATTATTTCTTAGACTATTATTCATAACCCATGGCCTCAAAAGTCACAGAGAACAGGTGACCAGCAGCTCCCCCAATTCAGTTTTCTCTCACCTGAGGAAGTTTTTTGTCTTCATCTGACAGACAGTCAATTGCATTATTGAACACTTCTTCAACCATCTTTTTTTCTTCGTCTGAGAAAGCAATTTGTAATTTTATAACAAAATCTAAAAGGTTAATAAGCTATGCAAATAAAGCAATTATGACATTCTGAGATCTGTAAAACGTCACAATAGAAGTAGTGCAAAGGCAGGCAGTAAAATCTACACAAAACCACCCACATCTATCCACGTCAGACAACTAACGAATGCAGGCTGCAAAGGAAAGGCTAGGACAAACCTAGGGGAAAATAACCCAAACCTCAGCTACTATCAAGCGAGATTTCTCAGCTTTATGTATTGTCTATGTCATGAATCTCCACATTTCCCTCCTACCTACTAGTCCTTGACTGTCCTCTCCACCAGTAATTCTTAAGCCTTACCTACACTCCACACAAGTACCAGAAACATCAAGAATTTGTATTTAAAGGTATGATCAAAGAAAGCTCAGAAATACATATCTCTATAATGATGCAGACCTTTACATTTTCAGACTGAAATGGCTGCACATTTTTTGCAATCTGAAGCAGAATGCACCACGACTGGGACAAGTGAGCAAGCAAGAACTCTGAACAGCTCACAAACATGAAACAATATTCTGATTTAAAACATCTCTTATAATTTTGAAACTACTCCGAAAATTTATGGGCCATGAACTGAAGCTCATTTTCCAAGCTTGGACTTAATCCACAAAAAAAAAAAAACCAAAACAAACTTCAGTTCAGCATTTGAGTTTTTACTTAAGTAGATGGGAGAGGAAGTAAGAAAAGTGGATTGAACAGCTGAGAGAGAACAGTGCCTCGTTATACGACCATTTTAACTTTGAGAGAATAATCAGATTTCCAGACAGAATTTTCTAGAATCTCTTGCACTACTATCTGTTCTATAATCTGTTCTACCTATTCCAAAGAAAACATTCAAATAGAATACAGCTAAACACTGCAATGATCACATACTACTCTGCATATGAATACATTCCTATTGAAAATAGGCTGATGCACTGGAATGGTATATAAGAAAGCAGTAAGTGTTTTTTTTATTTGTTTTTATATAAGTGAAATAGAAATATTTATCTAGAATAACATTTAAAGTAAAATTACAACTTGGGATAAACTGCATTTTACTTATTGTTACCTGTATTAAAATCTAACTTTGTCATCTGAAGAGCGTAGGCTTCACAATCCTTCTTACTGAAGCTGAAAATGATTACAGGCTGGAAATTCCTCTCCATGATCATCTTCACAATCTTAAATACGTTGGAAGGGCCTGCAGAGAGATTTCATGAATTTCATTTTAGCAAAAAATTTATCTTACAGAAGATCTAAAATAGAAGCATAACTTAGGTGCAGCCTTTTTTTTTTCTTTTCAAACAAACAAACAAACAAAAATAGCATAGTTTTGTAAGAAATCAGTTAAGAACTCACCTTTTGTTCCTCCTTTCCTGCCCTTCTGGTCTCCTTTTGCTAAGTCTCCTGCATCTCTGAGCACTTGCATTGCTGTATTAAAATTATCTTCTCTGAAATCTCCCTAGATATAGAAGACAACCTTTGTAAAACAATTTCTTCTTACAACAGCCTACTGAATAAATTCATAATACTTTACATACTGAGTACCGTTACTATATATTTACAGGTTGAAGGACAAAATAATGCATAAAGCCAGCAAGAGACATCATTAATGGCACAGCTCAGAATTGTCAGAATTACATTTGTATCTCTGGTTTAGTGCACATTATTTTAATCATTACACCACCTACTACAATAGACATGCTGAATGACTACACTGGTTTAACACTGATGGCCAACTGAACACTATTGCACTGCTTTCTCATAGTCTCTTATCAAATTAATGGGGTGAGAAAATAAGATGAGAAGGACTCAAGGGTTGACATATGGACAGGGAGATCAATCACTAACTACCACAGGAGGCGAAGCAGACTCAACACAGGGAGACTGATGTAATTTTGCCTTTTATGGGCAGCCTTCCCCCCCTGATCCTGCAGACTTGCAGCTCTCCAAGTGGTGCTCCAACATGGCTTCATACCACCAGACACATCCTTCAGGAGCACACTGCTTTAGCACGGAGCACCACAAG